TAAATAACCCGTACTCAAAAATGTCAATGTATGAAAGACAAAGAGAAGTTGAGGAACTGCTCCAGATTAAAGGGTACTAAAGAGACATGATTTCCAAATGTAGTCAATGATCCTGAATTGGGAGGTGGGGTGGGCTGGAACGTGGAGGAAATGTACTACAAAGGCCATTTCTTGGACAATTGGACAATTTGAATATGGATGGTTTATTAGATAATAATGTTGCATCACTGTTAAATCCCCTGATTGGGATAATTGTATTGTGGTTATATTAGTGAATGTCCTTGGTCTCAGGAGATAACATGCTGACATAGGGGTAAAGGATCATATCTACAACTTGCTTTCAAATTATCTAGTGAGAGATAGATACAGAGAGAAAGTAACATATGCAAAATGTTAATGACTCTAGGTGGGAAAGGATAAAAATTCTTCAGTATATTATTTTTGCTAAACTTCTATATGTTTAAAACTTTTTCAAAATACAAAGTTAAAAAAAAATTAAAGGGACTTCCCTGGTGGTGCAGTGGTTAAGACTCCGCACTCCCAATGCGGGGGGCCCGGGTTCGATCCCTGGTCAGGGAACTAGATCCCACGTGCTTGCTGCAACTAACAGTTCATATGCCACAACTAAGGAGCCCATGTGCCACAACTAAGGAGCCCGCCTGCCACAACTAAGACGTGGTGCAACCAAATTAAAAAAAAATTTAAAAGAAAATACTAACAAAACTATAAAACATACCACATTTGAAATTGACAGAGGGTAAAATAATGGTAATGTATATAATTACCCACTAGCACATTAAACTTCACTCTAACAGAGGGACTGAGAAGGAATGAAATGCAATAGATTAGATTTGGCCCTATGAGTCTCACCTTAACTTCTCTGGGATTTTGAGGACAGGAAGGGAGAAGAAGTCTATTGGGGGCCTCTTTGACCTAGCATTTCAGTTGCCATTCAAAGGAAATCTTGTATGCATATGGAAGAATAAAGATCTATAAAGAGCTAAATAAATTTGGACATTCACACACAAAAAGCACAGAGACTTGCCATACCAGATTTTAAGATATGCCACAGGGCCTTCCCTGGTGGCTCAGTGGTTGAGAGTCCGCCTACTGATGAAGGGTACACAGGTTCGTGCCCTGGTCCAGGAATATCCCACATGCCGCGGAGTGGCTGGGCCCTTGAGCCATGGCCGCTGAGTCTGCGCGTCCGGAGCCTGTGCTCCGCAACGGGAGAGGTCACAACAGTGAGAGGCCCGCATACCGCAAAAAAATAAAAAAGCTTCCAACAAACAAAAGTCCAGGACCAGATGGCTTCACAGGTGAATTCTATCAAACATTTAGAGAAGAGCTAACACCTATCCTTCTCAAACTCTTCCAAAAATTGCGGAGGAAGGAACATTCCCAAACTCATTCCATGAGGCCACCATCACCCTGATACCAAAACCAGACAAAGACACTACAAAAAAGGAAAATTAAAGACCAATATCACTGATGAACATAGATGCAAAAATCCTCAACAAAATACTAGCAAACAGAATCCAACAGTACATTAAAAGGATCATACACCATGATCAAGTGGGGTTTATCCCAGGGATGCAAGGATTCTTCAATATATACAAATCAACCAGTGTGATACACCATATTAACTAATTGAAGGATAAAGACCATATGCTCATCTCAATAGATGCAGAAAAAGCTTTTGACAAAATTCAACACCCATTTTTGATAAAAACTCTCCAGAAAGTGGGCATAGCGGGAACCTACCTCAACATAATAAAGGCCGTATATGACAAACCCAGAGCAAACATCATTCTCAATGGTGAAAAACTGAAAGCATTTCCTCTAAGATCAGAAACAAGAAAAGGATGTCCACTCTCACTATGATTCAACATAGTTTTGGACATCCTAGCCACAGCAATCAGAGAAGAAAAAGAAATGAGAGGAATACAAATTGGAAAAGAAGAAGTAAAATTGTCACTGTTTGCAGATGACATGATACTATACATAGAGAATCCTAAAGATGCTACTAGAGCTAATCAATGGATTAGGTAAAGTTGCAGGATACAAAATTAATGCACAGAAATCTCTTGCATTCCTATACACTAATGATGAAAAATCTGAAAGAGAAATTAAGGAAACACTCCCATTTACCACTGCAACAAAAAGAATAAAATACCTAGGAATAAACCTACCTTGTGAGACAAAAGACCTGTATGCAGAAAACTATAAGACACTGATGAAAGAAATTAAAGATGATACCAACAGATGGAGAGATATACCATGTTCTTGGATTGGAAGAATCAATATTGTGAAAATGACTATACTACCCAAAGCAATCTATAGATTCAATGCAATCCTTATCAAATTACCAGTGGCATTTTTTATGGAACTAGAACAAAAAATCTTAAAATTTGTATGGAGACACAAAAGACCCTGAATAGCCAAATCAGTCTTGAGGGAAAAAAACTGAGCTGGAGCTGACTTCAGACTATACTACAAAGCTACAGTAAGCAAGACAATATGATACTGGCACAAAAACAGAAATATAGATCAATGGAACAGGATAGAAAGCCCAGAGATAAACCCACGCTCCTATGGTCAACTAATCTATGACAAAGGAGGCAAGGATATACAATGGAGAAAAGATAGTCTCTTAAATAAGTGGTGCTGGGAAAACTGGACAGCTACATGTACAAGAATGAAATTAGAACACTCCATAACACCATACACAAAAATAAACTCAAAATGGATTAGAGACCTAAATGTAAGACCAGACACTATAAAACTCTTAGAGGAAAACATAGGAAGAACACTCTTTGACATCACAGCAAGATCTTTTTTGATCCACCTCCTAGAGTAATGGAAATAAAAACAAAAAATAAACAAATGGGACCTAATGAAACTTCAAAGCTTTTACACAGCAAAGGAAACCATAAATGAGATGAAAAGACAACCCTCAGAATGGGAGAAAATATTTGCAAATGAATCAACGGACAAAGGATTAATCTCCAAAATATATAAACAGCTCAATATTAAAAAAACAAACAACCTATCCAAAAATGGTCAGAAGACCTAAATAGACATGTCTCCAAAAAGACATACAGATGGCCAAGAAGCACATGAAAAGCTGCTCAACATCACTACTTATTAGATAAATGCAAATCAAAACTACAACGAGGTATCACCTCACACCAGTCAGAATGGGCATTATCAGGAAATCTACAAACAACAAATGCTGTAGAGGGTGTGGAGAAAAGGGAACATTCTTGCACTGTTGGTGGGAATGTAAATCGATACAGCCACTATGGAGAACAGTATGGATGTTCCTTAAAAAACTAAAAATAGAATTACCATATGATCCAGCAATCCCACTACTGGGCATATACCCAGAGAAAACCATAATTCAAAAAGACACATGCACCCCAATGTTCATTGAAGCACTATTTACAATAGGCAGGTCATGGAAGCAACCTAAATGCCCATCAACAGATGAATGGATAAAGAAGATGTGGTACATATATACAATGGAATATTACTCAGCTATAAAAAGGAACGAAATTGGGTCATTTGTTGAGACGTGGATGGATCTAGAGACTGTCATACAGAGTGAAGTAAGTCAGAAAGAGAAAAACAAATATCGTATATTAACGCATATATGTGGAACCTAGAAATATGGTACAGGTGAACTGGTTTGCAGGGCAGAAATTGAGACAGAGATGTAGAGAACAAACATATGGACACCAAGGGGGAAAGCGGCGCGGCGGTGGCAGTGGTGGTGTGATGAATTGAGCGATTGGGATTGACATGTATACACTGATGTGTATGAAACTGATGACTAATAAGAACCTGCTGTATAAAAAAATAAATAAAATTCAAAAATTAAAATAAAAAAAGAAATTGTAAACAAAGTTCAGAGAAAGGACTGGAAGATGTGCTGTCCAAGCTGACAAGGGATTTATAGCTATAATATAACAAGAACAACTATGAATTAACAAGGAAACAGGAAACCCATTAGAAAAATGGGCAAAGGATACAGAGACATAATTCACCGATTGGAGAATCCCCAAAAGATAACGTGTGCATAAAGCGATGCTCAGACTTATTAGAAATCAGAGAAATGCAAGTTTTCTACCCTCTGAATGGCAGATAGGTGGGTAGCACCGAATATTTAGTAGAATGCAGGAAACCTTGTGCATTGCTGATGGAGTAATTTTTAATTCCTACCTCACATTCCACATCCAATCCTTCAGTGAATCCTGTTTCTGTTTCTACCCTTGCCTATGCCTCCCCACTGTTTGTTCTTCTAACTGTATCTGGAATGGGCCTTTTAAAACATAAGGCATATCACATCCATCCTCTGCTCAACACACTCTAGTTACTTCCCATCACAGAGTAAAGCCAAATTCTCTACCTAACAAGTCTCCAGCTGTGGTAGGCAGAAGAATGGTCCCCAAAGAAGTCCATATCCTAATCCCCACAACCTGCGAACGTTCTGTTACATGGCAAGGGGGCATTAAGGTTGCCAATCAACCTACCTTGAGGTGAGGAGATAACCCTGGGCTAATTGGTGGCTACGAATATAATCACAAGGGTCTTTATAAGTGAGGGCGAGGGGAACTCCCTGGCGGTCCAGTGGTTAGGACTTGGCACTCTCACTGCCAAGGGCCTGGGTTCGATCCCTGGTTGGGGAACTAAGATTTCAGAAGCCACTCAGTGCAGCAAAAAAAGAAAAAAGAAGAAAAATTGAGGGAGAGACAGGAATGTCACTGTTAGAGTGATGACTGGCCATCGCTGGCTTTGAAGATAGAAGGGGACCACAAGCTAATAAGCAAAGCGGGCAGCCTGTAGCAGCTGGAAAGGCAAGAAAACAGATGCTCCCCTAGAACCTCCAGAAGGAATGCAGCCCTGCTGACATCTCAGTATTAGCCCAGTGAGATCCGTTTTGGATTCTAACCTCCAGGACTGTAAGATAATAAATTGGTGTTGCTTAAAGCTACCACATTTGTGCCAAACTGTTACAGCAGCAATAGGAAACAGATACACCAGTAACATTCTGTCATCCCAAGCTCTTCTCCTCTCCACTCTGCCCCCCCGCCCCATGACCTCATTACTGTTCCTCCAGGACATGCTTCGGGGACCTCTTCTGCTTCAGGGCCCAGGCACTGACAGTTCCCTCAGGCTGAAGCAATTTCTGAATTGCAAACCACTTCTGATGGGGATGATTAGTGGAGATAGCTGACTTCTGCTTCTGTCCAGGATGGAGTAACATGGACCAGATTTATCCTCATGCCTTAAACATCTTAAAAACAGACAAAACACATGAAGCAATGGTTTTTAGATACTGGACAATAGGTAGTACAGGAGAGTGATCCCTAAGAGAAAGGAGATAAGGTTAAGTCTTATGAGTGCTCAGGGCCTGGAAATTTTAGGCTTCATCACAAGGAAGGGGAATCCAAATTGACTCTGGCCACTTCAGTGAACTGTGAAGACAGACTTCAGAGTTTGCAGAGGCCAAGATGGCTAGAATTTGTGGAGAGAGGGGAGAGGTGCAGTGAGAGAGCGAGCTCCAGAGGTCTGCAGAAGATTCCCCACAGTTCTTTGGCTGAATACTGATCAGTGTATGTGTGTAAAAAAACTATTGAGCCCTGGGGAAAATAACACCAAAAAGGAGAAGGCAGAATAGTTCTTAGAGCCTACACAGGGCCAAGAATAGAGTTCTCACCAGTCAGAGTAGAAAGAACTCTTAATACACTGGTCATTGAATAGAGTCCTCAGAAAGGTATTGCCTCAGTAATGGGGTCAAATTAGCCCTAAATAAAGACTATTTTGGACCTAACAAAGCTTAAAAGCAAGCTTCTAAAGCAGGTCTGTCCAACAGGACTTTTTGCAATGATGGAAATATCCTATATGGATTGTCTAATATAGTAGCCACTAGCCACGTGTGGCTGTTGGCAGGCGAGAATTCTAATACAGAACGACCGATGCAAGCTGGATGTTGGAATTTGAAATATACAGAATACAAATGAGGAACTAAACTTTAAATTTTATTTAATTTTATGAATACAAATTCAAATAGCCACATGTAGCTAGTGGTTACTATTTTCAACAGGGCAGCTCTAAAGGATCAAACTGTTTCCAAGTAAACTTGTTGCATCTCAGAAAAAAGCCTAAATATATTTAAAGAAAAACCAAAACCCAAACCTCCAGCACCAACAATGTCAAATCTGCAACACCTGGCAGCCAATAAAAACTCACCAGGCATGAAAACAAGCAGAAGAATGTGACGCATAAGCAGGAGGAAAAAAATCAGTTAATAGAAACAATGCCAAGAATGAGACAGATGATAGAATTAGTATACAACAGCTATTTTAAATATATTCCATATTTCCCAAAGCATGGGCGTGATGAAGTGAGAAATGAAAGACATTTAAAAAAAATCAAACTGGAATCCAGAGATGAAAAATACAAATCGGACATGAAAAATATCGTGGATGGGAGTAACACTGCCAAAGGAAAGAACAGTGAGCTTGAAAATATATCAGTACAAACTATCCAATTAAAAAAAAAATGAACAGAGCATCAGTTAGCTGCAGAACAGCAAAAAGCAGCTTAACATGTGTATACTTTTTTTTTAAGGGGACCAGGGAGGTACCGAGGAAGAAAAAAGGTGAAATAGAGGTTTTTGTAGCGAAGTTTGTGAAATGGAGAAACCCGATCTCAGACTTGCACAGGAGTATCTATTACAAGGGAGAGAGCTCAGGTGCTATAAAAGGATTAGGTGGGGCAGGAGGGGGCACTCAGCACTCTTTGGGTTTCCACAGAGGGAGGAAATTTTTCACTTTCTTGGGCTGAGGGAGGAAGTCAACAGTCCTTGATAGGAAAAGAAAGGAAACTCTTCACGCCCTGGTCTAGCTTTAAAATGATCTTTTCCCTACATTCTTTTTTTTTTTTTTTTTTTTTTTTTTTTTTTGCGGTACGCGGTCTCTCAGTATTGCGGCCTCTCCCGTTGCGGAGCACAGGCTCCGGACGCGCAGGCTCAGCGGCCATGGCTCACGGGCCCAGCCGCTCCGCGGCATGCGGGATCCTCCCAGACCGGGGCCAGGGAAGCCCTTCCCTACATTCTTTCCAAAGACTCTTTAGTAACATCTACGTGGCGTACATAAATGCTTAAACTCTTCTAATTTTTTCCCTAAAGGAAGTACCTTCCTACCACCTATATTAACAATCCCCTTCTCCCCACAAGTCTTCAACTCTATCTTAGAGTTTTGAGGTTTGTACATTTTTCCCCATTTCTTTTCAATAATGCTAGATCATGAGAACATTTTATTCAAAATAATCTTAGTATTTTAAGAGGAAATGAGATTATACTTTGTTTTCCCTAAAATAACTTTTCAGGATGGTCTTTGAGAGCTCATGCTTCTTTGTAACTTATTTTATCAGTTAGGTATAATTATATTTCACAGGAAATGTATCTCTTGGGACCTCTGACTTCTTTATCTAAAATAACAGGGACACGATTTAATTTTTTAGTATCTAGCTATACTTACAAAGTATATTATATCTGAAAATATGAGAAAATGTACTGGCACAAATAACAAATAAAATGTACTGGCATAAAAAAATCAGAGCAGAGACTGGAAAAACATGGCACATATTTAAATGCACTTCTGTGAAATTTGTTCTAACATAAAATTTATTTATGCCTGTCAAAATACATTGTGGGAAAAAAATGAGTACTCACCTGGCAAAAACAGGAAGCGTTAGTCTCTTGAAATGTGAGATTACTTTTGAAAGACACAGGCGAATACTATACCAAGATCATCAGAGAACAGCTATGAAAACCTAGTTTATTTCATCTGTAGGAAAAGACAGGGAGATAAAGCCACCTTTAGAGTTCAGAAGTTCTTGGGTTACTTAAGAAAAGTGGAACATGTTAAACATTAAGAAATGTTTAAAGGACAATATTTCTTTTCCAGCTGAGCTCCAAAAATTTGGCAGAATAATGCAATTCTCATTCTTTTTCCCTAAAAAGTTCATTTCTTCATTTTTAGGTAATGTGGTCAATATTAACATAGTTGGATGGCCAAAAATAATATTACACCTGGTTAACTTAAATGAGTGTTCCCAGACTGAAGGCTCCTATTTGAGAGGACAAATTTAAACGGTATTAAACAGGAGCAGAATCTGTACAATATTAAATATCAAGTGATATTTCTTTTTTTTGTTAACCATGATCAGTTTTTCTTCAAAGGGGACTTGGAGGAGGCCTGGATTGTGGAGAAGGCATACCGGTCAGGAACCTGCGCTGTCATCACTAGTTCTGTCACACCCAGATTCAACCCAGACTGGATGGTGCCTGGCGGACGGGGCTCGGGGTCCGCAGGCTTCCCAGCTGCGGGTGCTTACCGCAACAGGACGGTCTCTCCCCCGAGGCTGCAAGCAGCAGCACCCGACCCGGGAGGCTCCCCGCAAACAGGCCCCTGACTGCGGACCGAGAGCGCACCACCCTCCCAGCGCCCAAGAGCAACTCTGCGGAGTAACGAATTCACTGAACGTGGGTCCAGAATGGTACCCGATCCCTGGGGAAAATAGCACAAAAGAGCGGCAGCAAAGCAGCAGGTGTCCCAGAGCTAACTGAAGGCAGCCGGAGGTAAATGGAGCCCCGCGCATGCGCATTCCACTTAGGTGCGGCCGCCGCCCCCAGGGAGTAAAGAAAAAGTCTTGGAAAAGGGGATAGCGGCTGGTTACTAGGAGACGGGACTCTCGGAGGGGTAGTCTAGACGCTGCGTGGGCGTGCGCCTGCGCGGCGCGGATGAACCAGGAAGAGGCCTTATCCTCAAGTGCCCTGTAAGGCGGACAGGAGGACGTACGCGTCGCTACGTGCGTGGGTGTGCGCGCGCGGCTTGTAGTCCCCGCGAGAGGGAGGGTCGAGCCAGGTACGCGTGCGCACAGGGACTTGGGGCGCGCTGGACGGAAGCGGAGCGAAGGCTCCGGGGAGGTGGAGGACAAGTCCCCTCAGGTACAGAGCGTGAGGGCGGGGCCGACGGCGGCGGAGGCCGGCGCTAACCGTCCCCGCCTCCTTCCTGCCGGGTCCCGCCTCCCTCCGACTCCCGGGGCGGGGCCAGGTCGATTTGGGACGGGAAGGGAGAGGAAAGGGGCGGAGGATGGAGAACTCGAGGGGCCTGGATCCCTGATGGAGGCGGAGTCCTGGCAGTCGCCAGGATGAGCTCCAGGGAGGATGGCAGGCCGAGAAGCCCGGGGAGGGACCCGCAGCCCCAGGTAGAAGCGCGGGGATGCGCCGTGTTGGGGTAAAAAGCATCTCCTGGGCCAGAAGGCCTCTGAGAGGGCAGCTGCAGGGGGCGGGTGTGGTGGGTGTTCGGGGCTGAGGGCGACCCCTGAGGTGGGTATTGGCTGCTGGAGCCGCTGTTAGGGGCGGTAGCCGGCGGAGTTGCGGTCCAGGGAAGCCCGCCAGGAGCAAACTTTGCCCGTGTTGTCGTTTCTTGGGAGCTTAGGGTTGAGCCCAGTTCCTATGGTGACCGCCTCGCTGCCTACCGCGGCTCTCCGCTTGGTCGTTGCGGGGATTGTTCTGTTTAGAAACGCTCTGGAGTGGAGCTGAGGAATTTGGAAGCGAGAGATTTGGGAGTTCAACCTGGCTCTTCCTGACTCCCAGCCTCTCACTTTTAAGCCACTTTATAGACTTGGCGAGGTGAAGGGCCGAGACTACGTAGTCAATTGCATGAAAATCTCATATAATTACGGTAGAAATTATACACCAGAAAGGCAGGGTACGCTGGCTTTCCTTGGAAAAAGTACTTGAGGTTTAAATTGAATAACTGCGGCGATCAGGGAGCTGATACCTAAACACGCATAGGAATACACTTTTTTTTTCTTTAAATAAAGTCAAGGATAGCGATTTCAGGAAACGTTACATAGATGACACAGGGTCTCTGTGTTTGTTTTCCTTTTTCCATTTAAGGCCATTATATCTCACGATATTCGTTGTTTTAAATTTCCTCTAGTGGTTTTCAAAATTTCAAGCACACTTTTTTTTTGTTTTTTCCTAACTTGTAAGGAAATAAATAGAAGAATAATTGGGTTGCAACTAGAAGAAAATAGTTTAGTTATAACTCTGAAAGGAAAGGGTTACATTGCTCAGATCTGCCTCCAGGATAAAACTGATTTTTGTTTGTATGTTAATTGATGAATGAGCTAAGCCATTTAGTCTTAATTAGTGGGTAGTAACTAGGAAGATACATTAATTATATATTTATTTTAAACAGTATACAGTTTAGCATTATTTAATGGCAGCTTCCAAAATAAATCTTGTTTACCTTCTGAAAAAAATCACTGCTTATGGCCCAACAGATGTAGACGTTCTCTGACCTGTCTTCTTCTTCAGGTGCTTCTTTTTCCATTTGTTTTAGGATTATTTGCTTTTTTTTTTTTTTTTTTTTTTTTTTTTTTTT